CAACAACAACGGCAGCAGCAGCCGTAGCAGCGGTGGCAGCGGCATAACATTGGTTTCATAATCGCACTTGGAAAAATTATGATACACATTTTTCTAGTCGAAACCTGCAAAACGAGAGCAGGCATCGACCAAATAAAGTTTTTTTTTTCGAATGTGAGTGTGCGATCTGCTTGCTTTGCTTCCCCATAGCAATGGTGCTATGAAAATGGTTTTTGGATGTTTGGTAACATTGTCATTGGCATGGATGTGAAAATGTGTGTTGCAAACAACGAAAGTACACATGATTATGGGCGGCTATAAACGGTAAACTAGGAATTACACGAATATGGAATATGATAAAACCAAATGAACACTGAACGCGCGACATGAACCGTCGTCGTTGCCCGATATATTGCATGTGTGTATATGCGCTAGAGTAGCATAGACAACACACAGATGCACAGACATTGAACCAGTCATTTGGTGTGTTCGTATTTATTATTAAACCGCACATATTTATAAAAGCGAACACACCGAGCATTTTGTTTGCAATGCGCTTACCCAAAAAGTGTATACTAAATGTATGTATATACATGCCTTTGAACATAGAGCAATAACATTTACCGACCATAACCGCAGTAGCAATATAGCGCCAACGACGAAAATTCAATGGAAAATCTCTCGCCCGCTCTCACTCGTACGCGCAGCATACAATGCGAGAGTGAGTGTGTTGTGTGTCGTAAAATAAAAAGTGTGCTCGAGAAGAAATTTCGTGGTGCATATATGCAAGAATCTACATCAACATCACATTTGCACATCTATTGTGCGATGGCCAAAACCAACGCGTGCACACCAACCGAATGTGTCAGTTCCGATAGCGATCGAAAATGCCTGAAGAAAAAAAAAACGAAACACAAAGCATTCACACATTTTCTCGAGAAGCCAAACGCAAAGAAGAATATATTTACTACAAATGAAACATTGTTATTATTTCACGCGTTATTTTTTTTCGCGTTCATCTTCTTTTTATCGTTTTGCCCCGTTTTCGACTCGCAATGTCGTGTGTGATCATTTATTTCTATTTATTTAGTTGATTTTATGTGTTTTTGGTTTGTGTTGTTTGGTCGGCACCAACAACACACCAACGAACCAGCTACTGTACACTGCATCTGGGTGTTCATTGTACCCACATTTAGTATGTTCATATGTTACAGAGAGCGAGAGAGAGAGAGAGAGAGAGAGAGAGAGAGAGAGAGAGAGAGAGAG